TAAGCCTTTTTACGTCAGTTAGTTTCTATTGTGATCATAGCAAGTAAATTTGACTATTGGATCCTCAAATATTGCTTAAACTTGTTCACGATGGGTTTGAAGCTCTGGGTGTCATTATAACACTAAATTTGCATTATTTTATAAACAAAAAAAGATATAAGAAAAAAACCAAAAACGGTTCGAGGGATCAACATAATAATCATTTGGGTGTGTCTAGAAAAACTAAATAGAAATAATTGTGGAAATGGGGTGGCAACAAAAATTATGAATTTTGACCGCACTTCCTATATCTCCCTGTATAAAAGAAACACTCAAATTCTATATTTTTGTGTGTAAAGTAGATGAGGAATCAAGAAAATCGCTTTCAAAAATGGTGAAAACAGCATATTTTTCCGTTAATTTATAAAAAAGTTGTCGCGTCTCAAAAATTGGTGAAATTTATGCTTGGAATGAACCTATTGTTGAATATATAGTTTATATTAGGAAATACTATTTTATACAGAAATTTATTAATTTTGTTAGAGGGCTTCTATACACAACAACAAAAGTTTTGCACCATCTCATTTTATATATTCGGGGATAATACCACGAGAGCTTCAAAATTACCGATAATTTTTCACGATTGCGTGTTTTCTATAATTTCACGAGTCCGTAAGACGAGTGAAATTTGCAGAGAAAACACGCATGAGTGAAAAATTATCTGGTTTATTTTAAAGCTCAAGTGGTATTTAGAGGATTATTTCACGTATGAGAATGCAAAAAATATGGAAATAAATATGTATTAAACGATTTAAACATCTTAACAATCAATACAAATGAATGGTTGCTACCAGGAACCGTTTAGCATGACAACAATGTATTCAATAACATGGGAGAATTTTCGCTGTAATTCTCTCTAGTTAAACAAATGGAAAAGAGAATTTTCGCTGTAATTCTGAAAATCATCACTTGTCTTATAGGATTTCTAACACATGAGTGGAATAATCAGCGATATCTAAATCAAAAAATTATCAATAAAAAAATTCTAAACAATTTTAGATTCCTGAACCTTTTTAAGTAAAGGTACTGGACACATTCCATAGTTGAAGATAACAATATTTTTATTTGTCGATGAGCATTCTATAGTTGTATTACAGAGCGGTACAAAACTTTTTTGTTGTGTGTAATTTCATTTACCAGGTTTTTAATTATTTTGCTGTTAAATCCATAGAAATCCTTACTGTTTTTATTTTTTAGATTCATTATTATATCCCTAACTAGAGCTTGTGATACAAAGGAGAATTCGAAACTTAGGCCATCTAGTTTATTCCTAATGGATTGGCAATATTGTTCTACAAAATTTAGGGATGATTTTCCAGACGGAGTTATGTTATTAATAAGCTCTTTAGGTATATTAGTGAAAAAATTGTTGAAGTCGTTTGGGTTGATATCGTTGTTTTGCTCTGAGGTTTTTCCTTTCATAAGATTAGTGCTATTTTTAACAACATTCCAGATGGATTTGGGATTATAATTGTGTATTTTAATATAATTGTCATTTGCTTGCTTTTTGGCAATTTTAAGTTCTTTCCTATACAACTTTTCATAGTCTTTACAGAGTTGAACAATTTGCGGATTATTATCAGATCTAGCTGACTCTCTATAAATACTTAGTCTATCACGCATGTTTTCCAGATCATCATTGAACCATGGAATGGGAGGCGCATTGTTATAGTGCTTATAGTTCTTTTGTGGAAACGCTGTCTGCACAGTTCCTTACTAATGAAACAAGCATTTCAAACTTCATTTCTGTAGTGTTATTATTATCAACAAAGTCCCAACGAGCTATACATTACGATAGCAATTTCCAGAAGTAAAGAAATACTTTATTTCATTGATTTTGCCTGCCGCATATGCGGCAGATAAAGTATTTCACATGCCGCAAATATTTTTGCAGAGTCCTATTGAGGAATATGTGTGCTTAATAGAACAAAAATCGCGAAGACGGTTTTAGGCAACAGTCAAATCAAATTGACACCGTAATTGTTACCAATTATAATTCTAATAAAGAAGGACTTACGCATTGTTAACATATCGAAACTCCTCGACAGGGTGTACGTTCAATATAACAATAAGTAGATGTGTTCTGTGTTTGCTCTTTTAATAAAATGTATAAGTTATACAGGGTGTATATTTTAAGTGATACCACTATTACTATATCCGAAACGGTAAGAGCTACAAGGTCCGTTAAATTATAGAAAAGTTGCCTTTTTTGATGCCCATTCAAGACTCGTTTACAGTGTTGCCAAATTCTTTTTAGTTTATGAAATACAGGGTGATTTCTAAGAAACGCCCAAAACTATTTCCTCAATTATTTTGAAAACTATTGATTTTCAAGACACAATTTAAATTTGAAAGTTTTTTAATTTTTTTCGCTCTACAACATGGTGTCATCAAATTTCAAATACGATGTTTCGTGATCGAGCTTCCATCATCAACTTCATTTCTTTTAATACGGACCTGGTCTTTTTATGTCATTTTTACAAAGGGAATAAAAGGCACTTCCCAAAAATGACATAAAAAATCCAGGTCCGTATTTAAAAAAATGAAGTTGATGATGGTAGCTCGATTACGAAACATCGGATTTGAAATTTGATGACACCATGTTGTAGAGCGAAAAAAATTAAAAAACTTTCAAATTTAAATTGTGTCTTGAAAATCAATAGTTTTCAAAATAATTGAGGAAATAGTTTTGGGCGTTTCTTAGAAATCACCCTCTATTTCATAAACTAAAAAGAATTTGGCAACACTGTAAACGAGTCTTGAATCGGCATTAAAAAAGGCAACTTTTTTCTAATTTGACCGACCTTGTAGCTCTTACCGTTTCGGATATAGCAATAGTGGTATCACTTAAAATATACACCCTGTATATATCTTCAATTTTTGCAGTTATTAATTTTCACGGTTGGCGATAAAGTTTTGTATGCACCTTGTCAGTGAAGTGTCTTTATCGAACTCGCCCTTTTACGCGCCTCGCTCGCTTCGCTTGCTCGTCTCATAATCTCAGACTCGTTCGATAAAGTATCACTTTACTGCCTTGGTACATAAATAACTATTTCTTTAGGTTTTATTTTGTGGCCAACAAATCGAGCTTCTATACCTAAATAGTCTGAAAATCCCAAATCAATCACACATTCTTCACATTCACTCACATTTGTGAAAACATTGTCCAGACATGCAGTTCCTCTCGTACATGTCACATTAAAGTCCACCAATATAAAAACTTGATATTCAAGATTAAGTGATTATTTTTTGCAAAATATATATCCAGAAATGTAAGAAAATTACCTTCTGGAGGCCTATACATAGTAATAATTATTTTTTGCATGTCTTTTGTCTTTTGATTGTATTGCACCTGATATGAGAACTTCAGGAGAGAAAACGCCCATCTTCAAAAATGGTGATAGATCTGCTGTAAAAAACTACAAAGCAATCTCAAAAAACTCAATTCTATCTAAAGGTTGGAATCTTTTGTAAACAAATGCCTATATCCACTGCTTTCATCTCAGATAATCCTAGAACAGCATGGATTTTTAAGAGGAAAATCTACTATAAGTAACTTGCTAGAATATCAGGAGTTTGTAGTTGAAGCTATGGCAGAATGTTCCCAAGTTTCTGTGTACACTGACTTAAAAAAAAGCTTTTGGTAGAATAAATCATTCAGTTTTAATTAAAAAAATTGAAGCAATGGGTGTTCGCGGAACTCTGCTGACTTGTTTGAGCAGTTATTTAAGTATCAGGTCGCAGACAGGTTGTGAAAGTAAAAAAAATTATGTTGTCAATAATCAATGTATCCTCGGGTGTGCCTCAAGGAAGCCATCTATCGCCTATGTTATTCAACTGCTTTATAAATGATCTGCAGAACTGTGTTCGTTTCAGCAAAATTTTATTGCATGTAGACGACTTGAAGATTTTTAAAGTTATTCATTGTGAAAGTGATTGTATAAAACTTCAAGAAGACCTACAAAGCTTTGCTATGTGGTGTCAGTCTAATAAGTTAGAACTCAGTGCAGGTAAATGTTGTACCGGGTTAATCACTATATTTTGACCCCTCACCTGCAGCCTTTACCTGTAGAGGTAGATGATAGGTGTAAATACAAAAGTTGCGCAGTTTTAACTAAATTTTTATAATTCTTCGTCAGAAACAAAATATTATTATCAGAAATTTGAAATTTTGCGTACTTTCAACTTTTTCCGAATGGAATGCTCTATATTTGGTTCTATATTCTTGAAGAGCACAATTTTCCGATTCTAGAAATATATAGTTTGTCTATATTTGGTTGAGCTGTCTCTAACATATTTGGCTCTAAAAATTGTAATCGGAGCTCACATAGAATACCTAAAAAATAGGTCGATTAAATTGCTTGGATTTTCCATTCGTTCTCTGCAAGATTTCAATAACATATTATATGCATTGAAAAATGTTTACTGTGCAGTAGTCATATCTGTCACTGAATATGCTTGTCCTGTATTGTTTCCCTATTATAAAAAATTGATTGATGAAATTGAGAGAGTCCAAAAAAAATTTTTGCGTCATGCAGGATATTGACTGAGTATTCCAAGAAATGAACTTCAATATACATAGTGACATATTGAAAAAAAGATTGTATCTTGATCTATGCACATTGCTCAGGGCTTTGAACTGTTTAATTTTTTCGCCGGCATTCTTGTAACTAATTAATTTTAAAGTACCAACAAGACAAACTCGACAAAATATAACCTTCGGTGTATCCTCTCATGTAACAAATTATGGTTTTTATTCACCTATATCTGGAATATGCAGAGAAGCAAATAGGCTTCCACCTACTGTTGATTTTTTTAACTCCTCTTTCAATAAGTTTAAGATAGACGTTAAGAATAACTTAAGCTTAATGTAAATGAATGTTATTGTGAATGGTCTTTGATCGTTAATAAATTATTATTATTATTATTAATATTATTATTATTATTATTTATTATTTCAGCTCCATGCATCATGCCTTCTATCAGATCCGATGGGTTCCGTGAAAAACCACCGCCAAATACGTCGCTTACTGGAACGTGCAATCGTTCAAGACAAAAATGGTCACACTAACGCCATTTACATGCTGGCCGAACTCCTAATCAGAGAGCTACAGTACAAAGAAGTGTCTCAAATGCTAATGAAAACCTTAGAAACCCAGAAACCCACGTCGAGAATCCACCAGCTTCTAGGCGAATGCTTCATCAATTTACAAAAAGACGAAGAAGCTTTCACTCATTATACGATAGCCTTGAGGCTTGATCCGCAAAATCAACGGGCAACAGAAGGGCTGAATAGTATTGGCACTAAACGAGATCATTATTATTCGTGTAACGATTCGTCGTATAATTCCAGGAGGACCTTGGATCAGGAACCTGAGCTTGAGGGTGAAAGCGATTCGGAATTGTGGCCGGGGCCTAGTGATATGGCCAATTTTAGTGGATAAAAATATGTAAATTTATTCTAAGAATCATGTTTTAAATTAAATAATTTGTCGATACTTATAAGGCAATTGTAATTACCATTATACATCTTTGAATAATTAATAAATAGCGTCCTACATACATAAATGTTGCCTTGATATTGTTAAATGAATCAAGGTTTGTTTATTATTGTAATATATATTTACCTGAAAGTGTTTTTTCTTTTCAATGGAACGCAATAATGAGTTTAATTTGTCTCGATCTCTTACTTAATTTTCTTGAAAGAAGTAGTATTTATTGGAATTGGACAAAAGCGGGAAAACCCGTGAAACCTTGAGAACATCTTACCTACTCGCTTACTTTCATTTGTGGGTATTTTTACCAAAAATTTCAAATAAGAGCCAGCGATGATTTTTTGGTAATATACATACATAGATTAAAACCGGATATTTTTTAAACCAAGCTACCTGGCAGTTTTTTCAATATTTATCACAAATATTCAAATTTTAAGCTTGTTACCCTTAAATCTAGAGAAACCTTCGAATGCGTTTTGGTTCAGAAAATATAATTTCATAAGAAATTACTTACATAATTACTTGTATTGTAAAAATTGGTCTATAGGTATAGCAAAACCGAAATTTCAAGAAACTCAACTTTAGAAGTTTATTTTAGTTTTATGAAGGGTAAAGCAGCGACTGTAAGAGAAATCTATCTCTCATTCTGCATTCAAAAGTAATAACAGACATTATTAGACTATCAGAAAAAAATAATCTAAATTTCACTTTCCGTATAAGTAGGCGTAGGCAGAGTTATGTATCTCGATATATTTTTACATAATTAATCACCTTATTGTTTATCAAAGGCAAATTGAAAGCAAAATTGAAAAAAAAAAAATCGTGCGTGGGCCGAAACTAGGCAAATTCTGCACTAGCCGGAATCACCGAAACAAATACGAATTTGCATAAACTACGAATAAATTTTATGTGATTATGTTTTGAATGACATCACCGTAACACCTTTTAATAGAGAGAACTTGTTGCTACGTTAAATAATATACGCATAGAAATAAATGTTTATTTAATGAATAAATGTCCAATTTCACATTTTAATATTACCTGTATAATAAAGTTCTCAAGGTGCTGAAGAATTTCTATAAGTACCTACCTAATTGATTGGGTACTTGAGCTCAGATCAGATATAAATGTGTACCTACCTACTTTTGGAACCAGGTTTCTGATGCCTCTGCCATTATGCAAGCACGATGGAAGAAATAAGGGAAACCCTCTGAACACACAACTAAATATTCCAAAAATGGACATGTGAGAACTGAGAACCATGATTGAACACAAAAAGACTTGTCTAAAAGATTAAAACTGATTTCGCTTCTGTGAAATTATTTCCATGTCTAATGTAAAGTCCTGTAAGTTTTTGTGTTCTGACTACTGGTACTGGTGTGGCTGAGTACCTAACGCTCTGCTTTCTATACGAGTCTCTATTCCCAGTTCTTGGTAAACATAATTTTTCATCACTAAGTTCAAAAGTATGTTTTCGCGCCAGTAGACGATTTGTAATTCTTGGTTTACATAATAGAAGGATTTAAAAAATCTCATTCAAAATTATTCAATGTCAATGCTTCAGACAGAAAGTGTTGAGAACGTCTTTTTTGAGAGTGCATTGTGTCTGAACGTTTGAAAGACATCTCGTTGAAGAAGTGTTCAGAATGTCTTGGAAAAATGTCATAAATACGTTTTTAGGCAGACGTATAAAAGAAGTTGGTTTCTGTCACATACGACGCCTTTAAGATGCCTTAAACAATTATTATTAAATAGACTTCTAAAAAACGTTTTGAATGTCGTTTGAGGACATCTTAGAGACGTTTTTAAGATGTCTACAAAAACTTCCCCACAGAATTCATTTCTCATTCAATTTAGAAGTAACTGGAAACCATTTAAAATGCTATCGAACACTTTGGAACTCTAATAAGCCTTTTCGAAAGTTCAAGTCACTTTAATCCCAAAATTAACAGAATTTCCAAAAACATTCTGTAACCCTTTAGAACAATTTGGAAATTGCAGAACCATTTTAGTTTAGAATGCAATTACCATTTGCAAAAACATTTTAGAACCATTCAGAAGTTTGAATTTTTGAAACCCATTTTAGTACGCTCCAAAACACTCAAACACTCTAGTCTAGAATCTCCAGAAACATTTTGAAAAGCGCCAGAATCTTGAGATTCAGGTTGAAAGTTAAAAACCGCCTTTCAGAAGGCGTTCAAGGGCGAATTTAAATTGCTGTAGAACTTTAAATTTTCAATAAGTACCTTTTTCTACTTAAAATTCAATTTGAAAAAGAAAATTTGGACGAAACTATATTTAAAAGTGGTACATTAGGATGTAAAACGATCTGTAGAATACGAAAAACAAAAAATATACAGGGTGTGCCATTTAAAAATCAAAAGTTCCAGTGATTTCCGGTGAAACCGGAAGTCAGGAAAACTTGTCATAGATGCATAAAAATGGCGTTTGGTTAGAATATTAACCCTACCAAGTTTCGTTGATATCGATGAAAGAATAAAAAAATAGTAGCCGGAAAGTAATCTCGAGGGCACCCGGTATACTGATAAATTATTAGATTGGGCTTGTGTTCCCCATATGAAAATAAAGACCCAAATAGTGATCTAGATCTATACTGTATTTTTTAATAAGCTGGGGTAATCAATCATAATCCACCAATTTCAATTCCCTGAATCCTTTACATCAGAGTGAACAATTTCTACCTGTATGTCCATTGGCTTCACTATCTTTTAATAAAACGCACTGTTGTATAGTGTTAGACACACTCACCCAACCACCTACTTGTAGTTGTGGAAATTTGGAACATTGTTGTTTCATTTCAAAATTTGCAATGAATTTCCATCAAGTATCGGCTAAATCAGGGCGAGTTCTCATGAGCTCAAGTTGACATTTCTGGCGCAGTCACGTGATAAAATGATTGGATTTTATTGGTAAAATATTCGCCATGCTGGAGATTTTACCAATTAAATTACACCATATTATCACGTGATGACGCCAGAAATGTCAACTTACGCTCATGAGAACAGATGAGAACTCGCCCTGAATATCTCAATGTAATTGTGTTAATTATAGACTTATACCTGGGTTGTGCCTCTATAAAGGTCTGGAAGTACTAGTACTAGGAATTTCATTAATTAGGTCAGTTAAATTTAATTTATTAATTGTGAATGCAGAAGATACCAAGAATGATTTTAAAAAAAATATATTTGTATGTGTTAATCCTTCAAGGCACTTCTTCATAACGCTTTGCTTGAGACAGAAACTAATTTACTCAGGTAGGTAGTGTAGGTACTTCAAGAAACATTTAGCTCGTATGCCCAGGAACTACCAGCAATAAACGATGAGGTAGTAGCGTAGTAGTTTGATTATACCAGCCAGGCCACAGGACAGGCCATGCGATCTCTAATTGCCAGTAAGTTACTTTTTTCCACTACTATAGATGTCGCTGACATCACCAGAACTGTAAAATACCAGCCCATGAAGGGCACGTCCGATGTCGATAACATTGACATGCCAAAACACGACAATATGACAGAATATTCATCATTTAATCATAACTAATGACTAGTTTATACCTACAAAATTAAGAATTAACCCCAGTAGCACACAATGTTAGTCCCATGTTGTGGATACATTGGACCAATATTGTATGTTGGCCCAATATTGGAATTTTTTAGCCAACATTGGACTTCTTTCATCATTATAATAATATATTTATCCAAGAATGGGCCAATATGCACAAACAATATTTTTATCGGCAGCATATAGCCAAGATTGGTTACATATTGGCAATACATATTTTTCTTATATAACAGTGATATATTTATCCATCATTGAACCGATAAGCACAAAAAAATTGTATTTTTTTTTTCATTATTGACCCAATATTGGCGATAGATATTTTTCCACATTGTAATATTATATTTACTTAAGAATGGGCTAATATACAGAAAAAATATCTTCATTGACATTATTTAGACAAAATTGGTGGATTATTGGCAATACAACTTTTTCTAATATTACCATAGTATTGTATCCATTAATGGACCAATAAGCCAATATTGGATATAATAAGGCAAAACAAATTTTTCTAATATAACATCAGTGATATATTTATTTATAAGTATTGATCAAATATTGATTCTATATTGGTAAAATATTGTATATGGGTCCAATATTAGCAATTTGTAGCCAATATTGGTAATATATTGGAGATTAATCTTTCTCCTACATTATTATTATATAATATGTGAATCAAAGATTGATCCAATGTTGGATCCAATCCATGTTTGGCAATATCTTTTATTCATGTTTATATTTAATATTATTCCAATATTGGTGATATACCTATAGGAGATGTACCTTTTCCATATCAATCAGGACTACCGAGAGAGGGCACCACGCGCTACTGGTGGCCTTGCTCTTTCCTAGTGTTTGAGTTTCCTTTATACCTGTTTCTTCAAGTTGGTGTTCTTCGCTCACAAGCTCGAAGCCGGAAACCGGTCTAGTCTGCAGGTGTTGGAGTTTTGGTGAAATACATGTGTTTTTCCAAAAAAAAATATTGTATGTGTCTGTGGTTTCCATTCTTGGGCCAATATGTAAATATAATATTTTACCAATATTGTTGTGCTACTGGGGAAACTAAACTAAAAAATAAATTGAAAATTAGCCCGAGAGTACAGGGTGATCCAGTATAAAGTGAACACCCCCTACCTTTTCGAAAAAATTTTTTTTTTTGAAAAAATCAGCCATTTGGTGTATTTTGTTTCTAGGTGTTTGAGAACGTTTTTCGAAATTTAATTAGATTTTTCGTTAAAGCGCAGTGACCAAAAAAGTAATTTTTTTAAATGGAATAACCTATATTTAAGTCAAATTTTTAAACGTCCCTATTATTCTCATTTCAAATATATAGTTGGTTTATCTTTATTCTAGAAATTTGCGATATATTCTCACTTCAAAATTCACATAAAAATAGCCGAAAAGGTATCATAAAACATAATCACCAGCAGCTAGCTTTATTAAAGGTAAAATTATTTAGATTTATTTACCTTGATACTTTTTCGTCTATTTGTATTTGAATTTTGAAGTGAGAATATATCGCAGATGTTTAAAATAAAGATAAACAAACTATATATTT